TCTTCTTTGTAAAAAGTTTGGTCAAAAAAAAAACAGATCGAAACAGAGAGAGACGGAGACGGAACCCAGATAAACAGCAAGAAGGATAATCCAACGGTGAAAATCTCTCGATGAGAGAAGAAGAAAGGACACGTGGCGAGATCGTGACGGATAAAAGAGAGAATGAGGGAAGAAGAGTCAAGAGTCAAAAGTCAAAGATTGATGACAGGGAAAGAAAGTGATTATCCATTATTTGGGTTTGACCGCCAGTGAGAGGGTCAAACATCTCTTCCCTTTTTTGACAAGTAATTAAATTTGTTTTTCTTTTGAATCAGACAAGTATTTAATTAGGTTAGATATTAAATATCTGGAGTTAATTAATCTCCCAAAATTTGTTAGCGGAAAAGAAAATTTAAGCTCCAAATCTATTCAAGTAAAAAAGTATTCAAACAGTTAATTAAAATCAGAACGACTAAAAAGTGAAAACAAACGAAATTCAGAACAAGTGTACTTATTTCTAAGTTTTACATTGACTAATGCTAGTTAATGTGTCCAAACGCTACATGCCTACATATATATGCAGATATATAAATGTTGCTTGATCAGACACTTTTAAATTTACGTATGGATGTTGAACTCGTATGTTAAATCTATAGCATTTTTGAAATGTTAAAAGAAATAGAGTTTGAATGCAAATTTTGTATTTCAAAAAACTTTAAAGACCAAAATACTTTTAAAATAACTAGGAAATAAATCTGCGCGTTACCACGAGCGCGGAAACTGAAATTTATTATTTCCGACCAATAAACATTCATTTGTTTATTTCGAAAAGAATTTAAATTTCTTTACATCGAACAGATTTTGATAGTTCATTTAGGTTTGCTAATTTGTGTTAGTTAATCCAATCATTTTTTTTTGTTAGCATATTATGTTTTAGTTGTGTCTTATGTGCATAATGTTTATCGAACACCATATATTCTATTGTTTCCTTTGGTTGTTTCATAATTCATAAGCCTCATGCCAATGCCTCTCTTCTCCGATTTCCATGCATTATATATAACATTCATTTCTTTTCTATATTGGTTATTAAATCCATGTTGAAAGGATTATTGCTTCATCAACTTGAAAAAGATGCTGACCATTACCAATGGCTCCATTAGCAAGATTATTCATTTCATCTCATATCTATACAACTAGGTCAATACTCCACCCATACGCCAAGATGATGAGAAGAAGTCTAGGATAAACGATAACCCAATAATTTTTTTGGTGAGTGGATTTTAGATTTTATACAATCCTAAAATCACAACTCTTTGGAAACGATAAAATGATTTGAAAGATTTCAGTTTTTATAAAATCCTTAAATCACAATTTTTTGAAATGATACACCGGTTCGAAAGGGTATCAGGTTTGATCAACACAGAGCTATTTGCTAAAAGACAACCATGATAAATCTTGACCCTTCATTTAAAAGAGAAATTGATATAAACCGTTGGATCGATGTTTTTTCCTATAAAAAAAAGATGACGTCATCCGAAAAAAAAAAAAAAAGAGGTTTGCTATTATACACTAAACTAGTTTTATACTGATTGTTTATGGTAGACTTTTGAAATGTTAAAAAAAAAAGCTTGAAGGGAAATTTTTCATCCGAAGAAACTTAAGAGAAAATTTGTAAAAATATTACAAAACTTTTGTGTATTTTGAAAAGTAACTTATGTTTGTAAGAATTTGAAAACTAACAATTTAATCTAAATCTAATAGACATAATTATGCCAGATAAGTTATTTTTTATTAGTTTACTAATTTTTATTTTTGACTAGTGAGCAAATTAACCTCATTAATAATTTAATATCAGGTCTTGGGTGAGATTTCCTTTTCTCAACAATAATGCGATTTCCTTTTTCCTTTACATTTTTAGATTTCATTTTTATCTTGTCAAATTTAATTACTTTTTAGGTCAACAATTGGCTTATATCTTTCTAAACAAAAATTAATTTATACGTTATTTAGGTATAATTTTAAAAAATTCAGCAACAGAAAGAAAATACAAACACTGATAATTTTGCATACATTTATTTTTGTTTGATCATATATATATATCACTACAACTACAAGAAACAAGGCATTTAACGTCGCTTGTTTTAATAGTTAACGTCGGTACAAAAGTGATGTTAAAATATTGGGACAATTATAAAAATACTATTTTTTGTGTGTATATTTGCAAGAATGTCATTTAGGGGTGTCTATTTACAA